GAGATCTCGAGTGGAGTGGCGCAGCGCAGAGCGATTGCAGCAAAATCTACCTGACATGGGGTTGCGCAAATAATAGTTCTATATGATGTAGCTAGCAAGGATTACCTAGAGGGGGGTGAATAGGTGATCTAAAACAAGTTTCAATAATTTATGCGGAAACAAAATAAATCGCAGAAGAGTCTGAATAAAATTCAGATTCAAGACAGATTATATAGACTGTGCTCTTGATGTGCAGAATGTAAGGTAAGAGATAATGGATAGAGAATCTGCACACAAGTTTATAGTGGTTCGGCTTATAGCAAGCCTACGTCCACTCTCCCACGCTTACAGCCTACTGGCTGGATTCCACTAATCAAATCAATGAGAAGTTACAGCAAGTTGTGCCGCTTAAACCCAAGCACTTCTCCCCGAGGGTGCTGCTTATACCAAGCCGATAGATCACACTATCTCACACCTAAGCACACACTTATAACACTGTCTACACCTCTCAAATGATTACATGTTTAAGCTCACGAAAGACAAGAGATTGAATCGGAGTATGCTCAGACTTTGGACTTGTTGATTCTTGATTTCGTTCTCTACCTTCTGCTCATCGTTGATCTCCTTTTATACTCCTCCACTTCCAAACTAGCCGTTGGACAGTCTTCAGAGGATCATCTTCCAATATTCACCTTTGGACAGATTTGTATAAAATGGATTGAGTAGCCGTTGGTTGATAAAATCTGAATCCCGCTGATTCTGGTCGCCCATACAATCAGAATCTTGGTTTCCATAAGTAGAGCTTTATCCGTTGTAATGTATACTTGTCGTAATGTTTGATTGTCAATCAATTATAGCCTTAGATTGAGACAATCAAAACTTTCCTTCCGTGAAATCCATACCAGATCACTAGCTATTATTTTTCGTTCTGAATTCTGCGTCTGAATAATTTTAGCGTTTGCGTCTGAATAATTTCAGCGCCTGCGTCTGAACTTTCTCGTTCTGAGTCTGAACTTTCTCGTTCTGAGTCTGAACTTCTCGTTCTGAGTCTGAATCTCTTTTACTTGAAGTTCTTTCACAATTTGAACACGAACTAGATCAAGATTGACATATGCTTTTCTTCCAAAAACAACTTCCTGAATCAAAATACTTCAAAGCATTTATCAGACTTACAAAACACTCATGGACAGTTTTGTCAACTTCAAAATCTATTGGGAATTTTCCTTAACAATCTCCCCCTTTTTGATGGTGACAAAACTTCCATGCAGATATATAGATTTTGAGATAATTTTGAAAAATATGATCAAGCATATAATGTAGCAGATATTCAAGATATCATATATGATCAGAGTAATTTGATATGGGATTTTTTATACTCAGTTTTTGAATAAGACAAGGAGTATGACAAAATATGAACCGTAAAAAAAATCTAAATCACAGTCTGTCTCCTTTTCTTTGAATCCAATAATCTGCATATCAAACCAAATCATATCTGCATATTTCTCCCCCTTTTTGTCATCATCACAAAAAGATATATGCATAAAATTCCTTAATGATTATGACAATATATGGAAGTATAATCACAACTCAATATTATGCATCAATTAAGTAGAATTAACCACTAAGCACATATGCATATTTACATTCTCTCCCCCTTTTTATCATAAACAAAAAGTGATAGTAATGGAAAGGGTATCACGTAGAGAATATAAATTTAACTCATCTTCACATACTATCTTCAAAATATATTTGGCATGAAACACAACCTTCAAAAATATCATCTTTCGCGAACATAACATATATTAAATATAGCTCATGTTCTGAAGAATCAAATATCATATATATCAACGAACACGTATGCACATAATAAATTTCACAATCTTTTTGTCATGAAAAAACGATAATATAAATAAGAGATTCGTTAATGACAAAAAGTAAGAGATACTAACCCAGATTGTGTAGAACTTAGCAAGTTCTAACATACATTACCTTTTCTTTCATAGTAATCAAGAGTGGGCAGAAATTAAATTGACTTTCATACTTGATTTACGCTCCCCCTCAATTTGATACCATTTTGAGATGATTCTCCCCCTTTCTTTTGCATTTTTCCATTTTTTGTTTTTCTCCCCCTGTTATCAAGACAGCTTTTGCAAATAACTTTCATTGCAGCTTGTGCACTTTGAACAAATTGTTGTTCCTCTATTTTCTTTGTAGCAGCAACATCCACCACATTTGTTTGCATTTTGAAATTCGAGAAAGAAATTTGTTTTCTTCCATCAAGCTCGTCTCGGATTCAAACTGCATAAACTCAACAAACTTTTTGCACAAATTTGTGGTTAAAGATATAATATCTCACATAATATGTAATGCCTTTTCTTTAGCAATTAAAATAATATCAAATATTTAAACCTGAAGCAACTTATCCTTTCGTACGACGCAGTAAGCATTTGCTCATCGTGTTTTGACATGCCTCCAATAATTTGTCAGAATTTTGCATAAAGGAGAAATTTTCGATCCTTCGGAAATGTTGCAGAATCTCCCCGATTGTGGGATCAAGCTTTCCAAACTTCACAAGGAAAGATTCTTTTACATCCTGCAAATACTTGTAAGAGAGATAATAATCTTTGCAAAATATAGAGAATGTCACGTACATACCTTCCTCCGATTTGCGGATCAAACATGCCAATTATAATAGTGCTTCCAAGAATATACCAAGTGTATCCAAAATATGCAATAATATCTTTCAAGATTGTATGAATTTTCCTTAAGCATGAATCTTAGATGCATAAAGATAATATGACATTAACGAATTTCGCAAAAGGAATGTAGATATTTTGATGTATTAAATTTATGCAATATCTGACACACATGGCAATAGAAATTACTGATTCATATCCCAATATGCATGTGCAGAATATACCTTTCCTTTTTAGAAAATAATTCATCACTTGAGATCCTTCGTTGATTGCATCATGACTTGCATAGGCTTGCATTCATGCTTCCTTTGTATAATTGTCTGCAATAAACTCATTTCCTTTCTAGTATCCTTGTATTTGGATCCTTTCTTTTTGTTAGACGCAAAATAGGAAACTTTCATAGAAGCCCAAGGATACTTTCCCATCTCATCTCAGTAGAGTATTTAAGGGAAATATGCATAATAAAACAATATCTCGCAAAAATAAATTCTTTCTTTGTAAGGCATGACAATATCGGAGAACACATAATGAGTCCATAAAAAAAATTCATTTCTAATAAGATATCAAACAATCTCTTTTATAAAATTTCATCTAAAAAATCCATCAAAATAAACTTGACTTTTATTAGGACATTTCTAACACAACCAACGATGTAAAACACGCCATTTCAAGTCAAAATAAAGCAGAGCATGAAGATAAAATGTTAAGTCCAAAGAGAATTCATAGATATTTAAAGTACGTATCCAAAGCAAATTTAGAATTTGAAAAATATACCTTTACTTACCAAATTCTCTTTCCTTATTCCCAAAATGATTTCTATAATGCTGGATTAAAGGCCTGTGCTTTAATCTCTCCTTGACCTTCGGAAAGTCATTCTTGATCTTACTTTCATTTTTGAAACCGAGGCCGGATTTGTTGTAATAGGGGACTTGAATGAATAGAACATGCTCTAATGTCTTTGAGCCAAGAGAAAAATTTTTGCAAATCTTCGGAATTTCTTCCTTATAGGAATCAACTTCTTTTTGCAAAATATCCTTTTCTTCCTTGACAGAGGAATTCTCCTTTTCAAGCTCAATGATCCTTTTCTCATTCGTAATATTTTGTTGCTTCAATTTAGAGACTTCCTTTTTCAACTTGGAGATCTTCTTCAACGCATTCTCATGTTCCGTGCTTAACTCTTCAAAAAGATCATCATCATCGAGAATAGGATCTGAACAAATCACCTCATCTTCTTCGGATTCAATGTCCGCCATTAAGCATAGATTTCCCTGCTCAAGGATTTCATCATCGCTGGATTCAGACTCTTCATTGTCGTCTCTATTCTTAAGATATTTTCTTTCTCCAGATTTCTTTGTTGGCTTCTTCTCTTTGGGGTTTCTTCTCTTTCTCACAAGGTGTTGAAATCTTTTGATCAGCAACTTCATCTCCTCATCGTCGTCTTCTTCATCTCCTTCAAAATCTGTTTCATCAGAATCAATGTTAGATTTTAAGGCAATTAACTTCTTACCTTCTGGATCTTCTTCGTGTATACGTTCTACTTCATATGACTGAAGAGTTCCAATCAGTTCATTCATTGATATTGGCATGATCCTTTGAGTCTCTCGAAGTGAGGTTTTGATGTTGTCCCACTGCTTTGACAGTTCTCTCAAAAGTTTGTTGACTTTCATCGCATCTGAGACTGGTTGTCCTTGATATGCAAGACCGTTTACTATGTCAGCAAATCTGTCATACATATCAGCAACTGATTCTCCTGTCTTCATTCTGAACGATTCATATTGTCCAAGCAACAGATTGATCTGTGTTTCCTTCGCTCTATCTGTTCCTTCATATGTGGTGTAGAGGGTGTCCCAGATGTCCTTTGCTGATTCACAAGAAGCAATTTTCTTATACTCAACAGGTGATAAAGCACAATAAAATGAATAAATTGCTTTTGAATCTAAAGCTTCTCTTTTTGTTATCTCAGTTTGAGATAATGAAGGATCTGCTGATTTGCTTTCTTCTTGCTTCTCGTTTGAAGCAGATACGGAATGTTTTGGATTGATTCCTCTGATGACAATATCCCATTGCATGTGATTAATTGATTTGATGAATGCCTTCATCTTGTTTTTCCAGATGCTATATTCTTTGCCATCGAAATATGGTGGCCTGGAATTGCTTTGTCCTTCAATAAGACCTAGAGCACTCATGCTAGCCATATAGATCGTTAGCTCAGAAGTAAAACACTTCAATAAACGAGCAACCTGCTCTGATACCAATTGTTTTAGATCACCTATTCACCCCCCTCTAGGTGATCCTTGCTAGCTACATCACTATAAACAGTTAGTTCTCAGTCAATTGAAAGTTCAAATGAAACTGCACTTCGATGAAAGTTCACATAGTGCTAGTACTATCATCTCTTATATCAATAGAAACTACATGTTCTTTACGTCTCATATCAAAGAAGGCAAGATTTGTTGATCCAGCGCATTTTGCAAATTCACCTCCTGATCACTCTGTAAAAGGATGGAAATAATTGTAAAATGGGATCTTCGCAGAAGTCTTCTCATAATTATTTCTGGCACCGACTTCAAACTATAAACATCACACTATTCCTATGATGTTCATACAGAAGCTAGCTCTGCAGTGAAAATCATAAATCACATGGTTGAGTTTGGCGAGAACTAAGAAGATATTCAAAAGTCAATCGTCATCATAATTGAAAACCAAACATAATAGCACATGAAAACTTTAAATCTTACCATCTCCTGAATTGCTCCCGATTTTTTGACATTAAGATCGCGTAGTTGCTCTAAGCTGACTGCAGAAAGTGGCATATCCAAGGGTACTTGAAAGCAAAGCTCACGTGAGACTTGTCTCATGGTCGGTCGAAGCCTTGGATCGGCTTGCAAGCACTCGAACACTAGCTTGGCGATCAAGACCACGTCTTGCGCATCTCGAAGGCCAATTTTAGAAGACGAGAGACGTTGATCAAGCACATCTTTCAACATCAGCGACTCAGTTTGGGCGAACAATGAACATTCCCGAGAGACATGATCTCCTGGATGCTTTCCCATGATTGTCTCTAATGCAACAACTCCAAAGCTATACACATCGCACTTTTCGATAGGAACTGTAGAATAAGCTAACTCTGCAAGTGGAGAATATACTGCTTTTTTATTCATGATCATAAGTTGTATTCAAGTCGACAACATTACTTCCCATGATGTGACGTGTGACGATTACAAGTGCAGATTTCTACTTAATCTACACTTACAACACTAATTTGAGTATAGGAGTTTATGCTCTAGCAAAGTTCAAAAAATTTTGTTCGCGCTTAAAGCACGAGCATCTTCTAGGTAATATGAACATAATATCCTTGAAATGGATTGATTGTGATGTTTTCCTCATTTGCAAATTCTTACTTATGAGGAAAATCGAAAAGCTTTTTCATCAATACCGAATTTGAAAGCTCTTAAAAAGTATAACAAATTTCCATAAGACGATTAAAAATGAACTGCACTAAACTAGTAAAAGTTCAATTATAGAAGTATGACACCGAGTGCCATCGAAATTGAACAAAAAATTTCAAAGTACCTGGAGCAATATACCCGATGGTGCCAGCAATAGCAGTCCAATTTGATGAATCTAGCCTTAATAGTCTTGCAGTGCCAAAATCGGAAAGGTGAGCCTCATAATCGAGATCTAATAGAATGTTGTTACTGGTCAAGTCTCGATGTAACAGCGGAGGTGAACATTCGTGATGCAGATAGGACAATGCATCCGCAACTCCTCGGACCACATTTACCTTATTGTCCCATTGAAATCCTCTTGCTCTTTCATCATCGTTCAAAACTGCCCTCAAGCTTCCTCTTTCCATGTACTCATACACCAAAAAACAACGTTGGGCATGAGAGCAGAAGCCATAAAATTTCACGATGTTTCGGTGACGTATATTTGTTTAGGCTTGAATTTCCCTTTCGAATGGTATCAAATCAACGATCTCACTATCTTCTTGTGATGACGAGGTTTGCTTGATAGCAAATGTTTGAACTTTTGATATCTCGGCTTTATAAACAATTCCATATGCTCCTTCACACACATAGTACTTAGAGTCGAATCCTTCCGTGGCCTTAATGATTCGATCATAGAAAACTTTGCCATCATAACTCAAAATATTTATGAAATCCAAATCATTTGCCCGCTCATTGTTCTCTCTCTTCATAATCCTTCTTTGACGATGATTGACGATTACTAGAACAATCAAGGTGCAAGAGAGAAGGAGAAACCCTAAGAACAAGAGAACGTGGATAACTGTGATTCTATCTCTAACGTGCCATTTACGTTTCTTGTTCCTAGTAGAATTGCATTTCGATAAACCAATGACATTTCCACAAAGCCCTTTGTTATGCTGAATCGCCTCAAATGGAGCCTCATTGAAGGCCTTGACATTAGGGAGAGGACCTTCCAGGGCATTGTAGGATACATCAATAGAAGTCAAGGCCAACATATCACCAAAAGTACGTGGGATGAAACCAGACAGGCTATTATGAGAGATATTTAGAACTTGCAAGTTTCTCGGAATTGCAAGCTCTCCCGGTATATTTTTAGACAAAATATTATAACTCAAATCAAGAACCTCGAGGAATTGTATGTTGCCTATCTCAAGAGGAATGCTTCTCCGAAATTTGTTTCTACTCAAGTTCAAGCTCAACAAGCTTTTGCATGAGCCTAGCTGCACTGGTATCAATCCACTCAAATTGTTTGATGCTAGGTTTAGATGTGCCAGATGGGATAAAAGTCCAATCTCAGGCGGGACATCTCCCATGATCGCGTTGCTGCTTAAGTCGAGTTCTAACAACATCGACAGGCTTCCCATTTCCCTCGGTATCTCTCCGCTTAAATTATTTGAAGAAAGGTCTAGTATATGTAATTGAGCCATTCTTACAAATATTGAGGGTATCTCACCAGAGAGGTCGTTGTTTGATATTCTTAAGCTCATCAAATTACGACAATGCTCCCATTTCCACGAAAGTTCGCCTCTCAAATGATTGTGGCTCAAGTTTATGAAATTTAGATGCGGATATATTCCAAAAGCATCTACTATGTTTCTAGTAAGTTGGTTTCTTTCAAGCCTCAATCTGTATAATGTGCTACAGTTCTTTAGGCTCGTGGGAATGGGACCCGTGAAATGATTATTGGAAACGGCGAAATATTGCAGTGATCTCCCAAGACAAACATCTTCTAGCAGTTCCCCTTCTAGTTCATTATTATATAGTTGCAAAATAGTCAACTGTGTTAACTTACTGAATTCAGAAGGCAAGGAACCAAATAATTTATTGTCGCCAAGGTTCAGTCCAGTTAGATTGGCGAGGCTTCCAACTGATGCAAGGATTGGACCGGTCAAATTATTATCCCAAATAAATAAATATGTAAGAGAAGTGAGCCTCCCGATTTCCGAAGGTATCAATCCTGAAAGTCCATTTTGAAAGAGGTAAAGAAGAGATAAACTTAGGCGATTGAGCTCCTGTTCATCCGGCTGACTCTCTTCGATTATGGTCGTTCTGGCCATTGGTTTTTTTTCTGGAATTTGGAAGTTGGGCTCGCCGGTCTATTCCCTTTCTATCCACCGTGGTGATCCTTAATCAGAGTATTCTGGGTTGCTGGTGGACAGATCTGTCTTCTTCCTGATTCAGACGCGGGTGGCTCTGTTCATCCGCCTGGCTCTTCATCGATTCTGGTCTCTCTGACCGACGGTTTTTGCTATTTCTTGGTGCTGGGCTTCGCTAGTAGCTGTTCTATCACTGGACCGGAGGATCTCTCTTGTGGTACTCCTGTTAATTGGGTAAGCAGATCTGGGAATCGGCTCCTTCGTTGTTCTTAGTTCCTGTTCACCCGCCTGGATTTTTGCCTTCGATTTTGGTAGTTCAGACCGGCGAATCTTGCTGATCCTTGGTGCTGGGCTTCACCAGTTGCTACTTTGCCTCTTGACCGAAGGAATTCTCATGAGGAGGCCTCTGTTATTTGGGTAAGCAGACCTGGGATTTCTGGGGTTCGTTGCTGTTATACAGTTCCTGTTCACCCGCCTGGTCTTTGTTTGATTCTGGTCTTTCAGACCGACGTTTCTGGTTGAATTTTGGTGCTGGGCTTGGCCAGTAGCTGCGTTGTCTCTTGACCGGCGGTATTCTCATGAAGTGGCCCCTGTCAATTGGGTAAACAGTTTTGGGATCCCTCTGATTTGCTATTCTTCAGCTCCTATGCTGAGCGGAGCTCTCTTGGAATGGCTAAACTCATATAAGGGAATTCATGTCTAGAAATCCCACAGGAATGGAGCCTCTGATGAAGGCCACTGGATTGAATGCTAAGCCAAAGTAGGGAACGGCTAAGCATCTTTATGCTGCTAAAGCCCCTTCTATGGCCAAAGATGGCACTCTTGAGACAGTCCAGATGGGAATGGTGGTCGAGGCTATCCATCCTCCCTCGAATCTCTCTGTGTTACCGACTACTCCTTCTGATGAAGCTGGAGTGGGTATTTCCTCTACTGCCCCAGCTGTGCGACCTCCTCGCCTTCGGAGCAGTGGTCGCAGTCGTCAAAGGCAACCGTCCATATTGCCTCGTTTTGGTACTATTGGGGTAGGGCATCCCCAGAAGGAAAAAGCCCAGGCAAAAGGTCGCAGCCGTAGCAAAGGGGTTGCCCCTTCGAAATCACCAGGCCAGGTCCCGGTTCCTTAGCATAACCAGCGTTCCTGGGCTTCAGTGGCCAAATCAGCGGAGAAGGGTTACAATCTCTCCTATATCCCTCCATCATTGTGGATGGTAAACCGGTGGTGAGAATCTCGTATGAGATCTTAAGGGATTCAAACCCGATTTGGAAGGAATGTCTAGTAGGATACTTCGTAGGTAAAAAACTCCCCTTCAAGATGACTGAAAATGCAGTCAAGAATATCTGGGGGACACAGGTGGTGGATGTCCTTGCCAATGTTGATGGGTTCTTCTTTTCCACATACCCGATGATTCCTTCCGAAGGAAGATTCTGGATGGCGGCCCTATTACCATTCTTAGAGTACCAATGTTTCTACAATAGTGGTATCCAGAATTGAAGCTTTTGAAGGATCAAACACGAGTCGCTCTTGGTTTGGGTTAAACTACGGAACATTCCGTATGCTCTGTGGTCTGCTACAGGCATCAGCGCGGTAGCCAGTGCGATCGGTAAGCCCCTCTATGTTGACGTTCAAACAGAGCGGATGAGAATGATCTCGTTTGCCAGAGTTTGTATTGAAGTTAAGGCCACCCAAACACTGCCTGATTCAGTGGATGTTCTGTTGAATGAAGAACTCTGGCCCATTAAGGTTGAATATGAGTGACGTCCTGTTTCTTGCCTGTTCTGCGGTACTTTTGGCCACAAATGCTCCCCTCTTGCTGTTGCTACGGCTTTGGCGTTGCAGCATTCCCCTCCAGTAGGTGCAAACCCTGATGAACTCCTCTCAGGTGAAGGAACTTGGGAGAAGGTGACCCGGAAACGTGTAGTGTCTCATTCTTCAGGTCCTGCTCTAGCAAACTCCCCAGTCCTAGAGCCGCCTCCTCCTACCCTTAATCCTTCGTTAGCCTCTTCGTCCAGACAGACCCCCCCTGTCCCTGTATTGGCTTCTCCTACTTCGTCTGAGGATATGTCCGACTTGGATGACTCTCAAAATGGCAAAACCAGTGGCATTAGCAGTGATGGTGATTCCCCCTCTCCTGCTCCTCCGTCCTTGAGGTCGAGACCCGTCCTTGAGATCTGCCAAGTGTCTCCTGCCAAGAGCCCAGACCCTCCCCTTCCTGCTCCAGTGCAGCCCCTATCTTCTCCAGTTAACACCTCTGGACCGGCTAAGAAGCCTCCCCCGAAACCCAGAAAGAGGGGAGGGGGGGTTTGAAAAGAAGGTAAAGTGTTCAACTCCTTTTTTGATGTTTTTTGGCATATGGAATATTAGAGGACTTATGCACTCCCTCAAGCAGGCTGAGATTAGATCTTTTGTTAGATCTAACAACCTCTCGTGCATTGGTATTATGGAGACTAAGGTCAGCCCGACTCTTTTTGACAATATTTCTGCTGGTTTATTGCCGGGATGGTTATGGTCCTCTAACTATAGCCACTCTCCCCGAGGCAGAATATGGGTAGGCTGGAACCCCCAGGATGTTGATTTTGTAGTTCTATTTGTATCCGAGCAGGCTATCCATGGCCGTGTAAGTCTTTTGGCTTCTTGCAAGACTTGTCACCTTTCGGTGATTTATGGCGGACATACTTTTATCACTCGTTGGACTCTTTGGGCAGATCTCATCCGGTTGAGCCCGCAATTTGCTGAAGTGCCTTGGGTGATTGCTGGAGATTTTAATGCCATCAGAGACCATTCAGCCAGAATTGGCAGCTCCAACTCTTGGATTCTTGCATTCGACGAGCTCACTAATTGCCTAGATCAAGCTGGTCTTGATGACCTTCGATATGTTGGCCACAGATTCACGTGGTCTACTTCCTCAGGTACTCGGCGAAAACAAAGGAAGATAGATAGGGTGCTCATTAATGAACACTGGACCAGAGCTTTTTCTTTCTCGGAGGCTACCTTTTTAGCCCCAGGAGTTTCTGATCACTCTCCGATGGTTATAAGAATTGATTCTCCCCCGGTCCTCAGAAAGCCTTTCAAATTCTTTAACTGCTGGATGCGGTATCCCTCCTTTTTGAGTATGATGGCGGAAACTTGGGACTCTTGTGTTTCTGGCACTCCCATGTTCATTTTATGTCGTAAGTTGAAGCTCCTCAAAGGTCGCCTCAAACTTCTCAATAGGGAATCTTTCTCTGACATCTCTACCCGCACTGCCCAGGCGAGAGCAGAACTAACTTCTACCCAAGATGCCTTTGCTAGTGACCCTTTTAACCAGTCATTGGCTAACTAGGAGAAGGACCATCTCCGAGTCTTCTCTGAACTCCGTATTCAGGAGGAATTGTTCTTCAAGTAGAAATTTAGAATCAGATGGCTGAAGGAAGGGGATCGCAATACTAAGTATTTCCATCATTCTGTCAATCGAAGGCAACTCCGCAATCGAATAATCTCGACTTCCGATGGCGTTGGATCTATCCTTTCTAACCTGACTCTAGTCCGTGACCATATTGTCACATACTATGAGAACCTGCTTGCCTCCGACACGTCTGCCCCTCGGCCAGCAAGTCGGGACATTCAAGTGGTGATCCAACGCCCCCTCAACGAGAATCATACCCAACTTCTGTCCCGCCAGGTGACTGACCTTGAAATCCGAGATGCTTTTTTCTCTCTTCCGAAAGGTAAAGCCCCCGGACCTGATGGCTTCAGTGTGGACTTCTTTTTATCATCTTGGGATATTGTTGGACCTTCAGTTACTTTAGCTATCAAGGACTTCTTCCAATCCGGCTCCTTGCTCAACGAGACCAATGCTACCATTCTCACCTTGGTGCCCAAGGTCCCCAACGCCTCATCCATGAATGAATTTCGACCGATTGCCTGTTGTAACACGGTTTACAAATGTATTACCAAGATATTGGCCAATAGAATTGCTGCAGTGTTGCCTGCCATTATCAGTCCCACTCAGAACGCTTTTGTCAAGAAGCGGCGAATTGGGGACAACATTCTTCTTGCACAAGAACTCTTTGCGGGATTTCATCATGACCCGCACCTGCCAAAATGCGCCATTAAAGTTGATTTTCAAAATGCATATGACACCGTTGACTGGATTTTCCTCCAACGGACCTTGCAAGCCTTTGGGTTCCCCTGTATGACTATCGAGCTTATTATGCTGTGTGACGACCCCGAAATTCTCAGTTGCAATTAATGGAGCTCTCCACGGTTTCTTTCCTAGCGGTAGAGGATTACGTCAAGGGGACCCGATGTCTCCTTCCCTCTTTACTTTGGTCATGGAAGTCTTCACCGGAATTCTGGTAACCCAATCTCGTCTCCCGGGTTTCAAGTTTTTCTGGCGGTGTAAGTCCACATCTCTCACCCATTTATTTTTTGCTGATGATGTTCTGTTATTTTCGGAGGCAAACGACACTTCAACTGCCCTTCTTAAGAGTGGCCTGGATCTTTTGTCCCGGTGGTCGGGACTTAAGCCAAATGTCAACAAAAGTGAGATATTCTTCTCGGGTGGCTGTCCTTCTCTTAGGAACCGTATTTTACACTCATTTGGCTTCATCGAAGGTACGCTTCCTTTCCGTTACCTTGGAGTCCCTATTTCTGCCTCCAGATTGGGTAAGAATGACTATAACTCGTTAGTCAATGCTATCACGGCTAGAGCTCGCTCTTGGACTTAGAGATTCCTTTCGTTTGCGGGACGTCTTCAACTTATAAAATATGTTCTCCATTCTGTTCAAGTCTACTGGGCCTCTATTTTCTGTCTTCCACGTTCTGTCCTTGCAAGAATCGAATTGATCCTTAGACAGTTCCTATGGAAGGGTCCAGGCTTGGGGGTGGGGGGTGCCAAAGTTTCTTGGAATGATGTTTGCCTACCTAGGTCCGAAGGTGGACTTGGTATTCGTAGACTTATCGACTGTAACCGTGCAGCTATGCTTAAGCACATCCGGGTCCTTTTCACGGACAAGGAATCTTTATGGTGCAAATGGATCCATTCCAATTTTCTCAAAACGAAGAACTTTTGGGTCGCCCCTAAACCTACGGTGTGCTCTTGGGCCTGGAAGAAAATCTTAGATCTCCGTTTTGAATTTCAGCAGCAGTTCAAATGGAGAATTGGCAATGGATCTTCCACTTCTTTCTGGTTTGACTTCTGGCATGATAAAGGCCCACTCTATAAATTGTTCTCTAATAGAGACATATTCTGCTCTGGCATTGCAAGAACGGCCTCGGTTAGGGATTTCCTGTCCTCCGAATGGCACCTGTCTAACGTGATTCAATCCTTCAATTCCTGGACTGAACATACCCCCCAGCTGGTGACGGAGTCGCCGGACCAACTTATTTGGCAAGGTCATCCTTCCGGAGTGTTCTCTCTTTCCTCGGCCTGGGAATTAACTCGGAAAAAGGGACACCATGTTTACTGGGATTCATTCATTTGGGACTGCAGTTTTGCCCCGAGACATAGCTTTTTGCTATGGCTGATGACCCTCAACAGGCTTCCGACCCAGGTCCTCCTTTCCTATCACAGAATCTCTGAAGGACTTTGTGCTTATTGCCAAGGTAGGCCAGACTCCGTTGATCACCTGTTCTTTGGTTGCACTTATACGGGCTCTTTGGCGTCATTTTGGGCTGCCAAATTTAATCTCCCCTGGCACAACGGGTCTTGGCAACATCTTCTCCGCTCGGCGTCCACATCCATTGCCGGCAACAGCTTCCATCACCGCCTTGCTCGGTTTGCACTTGGAGCTCTATGCCACCTCATTTGGATAGAGCGTAACAACTTCCTATTTAGAAATGGGACCATTTTCCTGCCTGCGATGCGGAACCATCTTGTCAAAGCTATTCAAGATAAGGCTCTTTCTCTCAAGCCTGTTGCAGATTCTCCGCGCAATAGACGAATCCAAGCCAGCTGGGACATCCCGACATCTATTTTTCTTAATGTTCTGTAGTTGTTGTTCATTTGTGGCTCTTCAGTCCGCTTGATAGAGGTTCAGCTCGTTCTTCTTAACACTCGGGCCCCTGCTGCTTGTAGCACCCGCTAGCTTTAGTCAGCCGCTACACCTTTGCACCTATCGCAGCTCCTGTGTTGCTTTAGGTACGAGGTTTTTGTGTTCGGCTTTTCTGCTGTATCTTGTGAATTGAAAAGTATAAAATCCTCTTACCTTACCCAAAAAAAAAGAAGAAGAGATAAACTCCTCAAGTTTCCAATGGAATGAGGAATTGAGCCGGTGAATTGTTGATTGATAGGTCAAGTTTAATAAGAGAAGTGAGCCTTCCGATTTTCGAAGGTACGGATCCCGAAAGTCCATTTCGGAAAAGGTAAAGAAGAGATAAACTCCTCAAGTTTCCAATGGAATGAGGAATTGAGCCGATGAAATTGTTGATTGATAGGTCAAGTTTAATAAGAGAAGTGAGCCTCCCGATTTCTGAAGGTATGGGTCCCAAAAGTCCATTTAGGAAGAGCTGAAGAACAGATAAACTCATCAAGTTTTCGATGGAATGAGGAATTGAGCCGATGAAATAGTTGTCTGATAGGTCAAGTTCAATAAGAGAAGTGAGCCTCCCGATTTCTGAAGGTATGGGTCCCGAAAGTCTATTTCGGTAGAGGCGAAGTGAAGATAAACTTGTCAAGTTTCTGATGGAACGAGGAATTGAGTCGTTGAGATTGTTGTCTGATAGGTCAAATTTAATAAGAGAGGTGAGCCTCCTAATTTCTGAAGGTATGGGTCCCGAAAGTCCATTTCGGAAGAGGTGAAGCCAAGATAAACTTGTCAAGTTTCCGATGGAACGAGGAATTGAGCTGCTGATATCGTTGTCTGATAGGTCAAGTTCAATAAGAGAAGTGAGCCTCCCGATTTCAGATGGTATGGGTCCCGAAAGTCTATTCTGCTTGCTAGAGAGTCTTCATTATTTGTATCTATGTGCAAACAACTTGAGTGGACACATCCCTTGGGAGATTGGATGGTTGGGTTCTCTTTTGGAACTCGGTTTTTCCAAAAACAAGTTCGCCGGGCCCATTCCTCCTTCTCTTGGAAAATTAGGCAATTTAACCAAATTAAGTGTTTCATGCAATAACATTTCCGGTTCCATTCCTAGAGAGATAAGTGACTTGAGGAATTTGGAATTTCTTTACATATGGCAGAATAGACTTTCGGGACCCATACCATCTGAAATCGGGAGGCTCACTTCTCTTATTGAACTTGACCTATCAGACAACAATATCAGCGGCTCAATTCCTCGTTCCATCGGAAACTTGACAAGTTTATCTTGGCTTCACCTCTTCCGAAATGGACTTTCGGGACCCATACCTTCATAAATTAGGAGGTTCACCTCTCTTATTAAATTTGACCTATCAGACAACAATCTCAGCGGCTCAATTCCTCGTTCCATCAGAAACTTGACAAGTTTATCTTCGCTTCGCCTCTACCGAAATAGACTTTCGAGACCCATACCTTCAGAAATCGGGACCCATATGTAAAGAAATTCCAAATTCCTCAAGTCACTTATCTCTCTAGGAATGGAACCGGAAATGTTATTGCATGAAACACTTAATTTTGTTAAATTACCTAATTTTCCAAGAGAAGGAGGAATGGGCCCGGTGAACTTGTTTTTGGAAAAGCCGAGTTCCAAAAGAGAACCCAACCATCCAATCTCCCAAGGGATGTGTCCACTCAAGTTGTTTGCACATAGATACAAATAATGAAGACTCTCTAGCATACCTAAATTTGGAGGAATGTCCCCGGATAGTTCATTGAAGCAAAGGTTAAGAGAGTTGAGTTTGGAAAGGTTACCGATACTTGAGAGAATGGAGCCATAGATCGAGTTGTTGGCAAGTTCAAAGCTAACCACACTTGTTAAGCGGGAGAAGTTGAGGCCGTCTAGAGTTCCTCTCAAACCGAAATAGGAAAGATTTAGATGGGCGATGGCTCCAAAGTCGTCGCAAACGACACCGGTAAAGCCGCAAGGATTGTCGCTGTGCCATGAAGAGAGGAGAGACTGGCTATGGTTGTCAAGAGTAGATTTCCAATTCAGGAGAGCCTGTGCTTCATCCTTATTCTCGGTCGCGTTGGTAGTGGAAAAAGGAGTGGAGGAAGCAGAAATGCCTGCCCCGTGAAATGAAGTGGTGTCGATGAAGAAGAGCAAGAAGATGAAGAAGAAGAAGACAGCTAAAGGAGGCTGGGTGGACAGCAAAAAGGAAGTAACCATGATTTGGGGGGGATGGTTGGGTTTTGGGAGGTGGGAGATGGTTCAGGTCTACATATTGTTAACAAGATTGATGACTATACTTATAGATTGGAAGATCACTCCTGAAGCCTCTATCGAGGACAATTCTTGTTATAGCTGGATGGCGTTTTCCGGTGAATGGGTATTCTCATTCATGATAGCCTCATCAATCAGTTTAGCGTGCACTGCGGCGGAAACTGAGTGAACAGCACAGAAGCATAAAAGCCTCAATCGTGGATCAAGCTTGAGTTACTTTTCCAAGTCTTTATTGAAATCGATAGCTAAAGGAGACTGGGTGGACAACAAAAAGAAAGTAACCATGATTAAAGGTGTTAAAATATATCTCGAGTTTGAGTTCGAAGCGAAAATCTGAATATTTCGAGTTGGATATTTTGCGGACATATGAAATCGAGTAAAAGGAAATATACGAACAGATCAATTTTGCTATTCTCTCGTTGGAGTCCGAATAGTGAAATAAAATAAATATAAAAAGGGGAGCCCAATGTTCCTTTCTTGCTGAGGAGTCGTAATTAGACGAAAGTCCAACTTGGACTTACGTTTGAAATATACGGAAATTGATTTCCGCATTGAAGTCTGCAAAGGAAACAGCAAAACAAGAAAGTGCAACGTGGACTTGAATTGGAATTATTCGGCCAACCTGAATTGGATTGTACTGACAGGACTTCTTCTATGGCGGTGATATTAATAATTCAACGGTTTATAATTTGTGGATCTTGCTTCCACATGTATAAAGCAAGTCATGCCGTGGCTGTGAAGATCTTTTAGCGCCGTTTTCAGCGAGTGCCGTGGGAGTGCAACTGACGTTCCGTTGGTGCTGGGTGCTTGACATTGGGTTCGTGATTTTATTCGTGAAATTATATCAAGACTTCAAGTATTTGTAGCAATTAAATTTTTATGGTAAGAATTTGTGTATAATTCCTTCGTAAAATTGAGAGATTATTTCGTGATAAATTATCGGGGCTAAATACTGTTTGAGTTATTGGGTGTAATTAAGGCTTGAAAAATACTTAGAGTATTTGACTAACTCGAGCGTGGTTGTAATCTCCATTGTATCTCTTCATTTATAGTGGAATTCGTGCTGCTCTCCCTGTTGACATAGGTCACTGCGATCGAACCATGTAAATTTGGTGTCTAATTAATTTTTCTTATTTTGTCAATTTTACTGTTCAATCGCTTGATTTTGCAACATAGGGGATGGTTGGGTTTTGGCAGGTGGGAGATGGTTGAGGCCTACATATTATTAACAAAATTGATGACTATACTTATAGATTGGAAGATCACTCTCGAAGCCTCTATCGAGGGCAATTCCTATTACAGCTGGACGACATTTTCCGATGAATGGGTGTTCTCATCGATGATAGCCTTATCAATCAGTTTAGCATGCACCGCGGGGGAAATTGAGTGAATAGCGCACTCAATCGGGGTTCAGGTATGACTTACTTTTCCAAGTCTTTATTGAAATCGACATGTCAACCAATGTCGTGGAAAATGGTTATCCTGACCGTGGGTTGGTTATATGGATGAGAATTGACACTCCGATTTTGTGTAGATGAGTGGCGTGTTGAAAGGGAATATACATTATGTGGGATTAATATTTGGGTTAATATCACGAAAAACCCTAAACTAATACATCTGTGACAAATTTATCTTAAACTAATTTTTTTACCACTAAAAACCTCAAATTGGTACATTTATGATAAATTTATCATCCATTAGTTTCCGTTAAATTGAATTAATACCGCAAAAAATCACAAACTGGTACACCTGTGACAAATAGAGGGTAAAACATAAAACTAATACATCAATTAACTGTCGCGTGTCATTTAACAAAGCAATTTGACAATAAAATTTAACGAAAATAAAATGAGAGTAAATTTGTCACAAATGTACCAGTTTTGGGTTTTGGTAGTCAAAAAATTAGTTTGGAGTAAAATTATCACAAGTGTACCAATTTAGGGTTTTTCGTGGTATTAACCCTTAATATTTTTGCTTCGCTGCCTTGGAGGGAAAACAAAGCAGCAACAATAATATGAGTAGGTTACTTCAGGGGAACCATAGGCCTCCTATACTGGAACAAGAGTTTGGTGAAAAGCTCAAAGTTCTATTTACAAGTTATTTAGGTCGATTCGTGAGTTTTCTCATCTTGTTCAAGTCTTTCGGTTGAAGCAAGTTCATTGGTAAACATTTATAAGTGGATTTCTGTTCCAAGTAATTCTAAATATTAACTTGTTTTGACCATTGAATTTGTCCTTCGCAAATCAAATTTAAATGGTTTACAACCTATATCCGCACAAAACTTAACTCGAAAACTACGATGCTGTACTTCGACCCAAAAAAAAAAACTATGACGCTATTACCTTAATTACTAAGGTTGGTGCACGCAGAAATTGCAAGTGTTGTTTGGACATGTGAAATGTCCAAAACGGATTAGACTATATTTGTCTTTCACCGAGAATGTGATTCGAAAAATCAAAGAGAGGGTAAATAGATGGAGAGGTGAGAAAAATAGGAAAGGAAAGGGGTGGATAGCGTTCAAAACAGTGATGATTATGCTAATACCGATTTGCGATTATCTACATTTTTAAGTTCACGTGCTATGAATGAGTTTTTTATAAGAAAAGAACGAAGTGACTACAGGAATACAAGGAAGCAACTTTTGGGTGAATATGAACCTCAATAGCCTTTTTATTCCACACCGGAGTACAAAATTGATTTATAAAGTCACACAATGAACACGTACAAATACTCAAACAAATATCCAATTAGGTTGCGTTTGGCCGTTTGGATTTTTAGCTAAGATATGATTGGATAGGATAGGATATGAAATCCAATGGATTTACTATATTTTATCTACTGTTTGGTGAATCACAGTAATAAAACCGGATATTTTCATATATTACCATGTTCATTATTTGCGATAAACGTCATATCAGTATAAATAAACCTGAAAATTGCACAAATAGAGATGGTAAAATTTGTCGCGATACTCTTACCTACTTCATTTTTATTTGCTTATTTTTTTTATTTTTCCCTTTCTTTTTTAATTATTTTCTTTTTATTTCTTTTTTCCCCTTCCATCATTCTCTAATATAATTTTATTAAATAGTAAACTATACAAATATACCTAAAATATGTAATAAATATAAATACTAAATGTATTTATATATATAAATATATAAAATTTATATCATAAGATAGAAAGAAATTTGAATATATAAATAAAAACGAATTTATTGTTATATTGAATTTTTTATATTAATATTTAAATATGATTTATATTCAAATATTATTTCAATATTATTAATTTAACAAGTTCGTTATTCGAGAAAAATAACTTTTATATTATGGATATTATAAATCTTATTCACCTTTATCCCACCTCCCCCATTGGATAATTTTATCCAGGCTATATCCCTAATATATCCGACTTTATCCTGTCATGGGCAGGCACCAAACACGGGATATGATAAAATCTATCCTATCCGGAATTTTATCCCAATCACTAAACGTAGCCTTAATGTTTTTTATCTCTAGCATTTTATTCTTTGGAAAACCTCTATCGAAAGAATTAATGATCTAGTTTTAACTTCTTAAACAACGAGGAAGCAAGATTGGTGCAAGATGGTCGAAAGCTTGCGCTTAAAGGGCAAGACTAAAGTGATGATCAACTCCGATAGATTTTGTATGTGCTTAAGTGGTGGGATGGTGAAAACGGAAACTTCACTAAGAATTTTCATCCCTCATTGCCTACGTCTATAAGGAGAGTGATAGAAAGATTTCGCTATAAACAAGTGCCACATCAAAGACTACAAATATATTTGAATACTCATATTTCTATAAACCCATCTTAGTCAATAAATTAAGCAATGATTGAACTTTAGTCCAATGTGTAATGTGGTCCCCGAACTTTTAATTGTTTAATGTGGCTCTTGAACTTTAGCTCAATGTGCAATGTGGTCCCTGAACTTTCAATTTGTTTAATGCGGTCCATGAATTTTTTGTAAATGTTCAAACTAGTCCCTAGAATATATGAAAATAACCAATGTTATCATTCCATTAATTTAAGTTTAGGGACAACATTAAATATTTTCATATAGTTCAAGGACTAGTTTGAATATGTACCAAAAATTCAAGAATCACATCGAACAAATTAAAAGTTCAAGGATGAAATTGCACATTGGGCTAAAGTTCAGAGACCACAATGAATAAATTAAAAGTTTAGAAACCACATTGCATATTGGGTCATAGTTCAATGACCATTTGTGTCATTTTCATAAACTAATAAATTAGTCCTTAGACTCCGTTTGTTTATCAGAAAATGTGACATTTTCTGGAAAATGTTTTTAAGGAAGTCATTTTTGAGGAAAATGACAATATTATCCATTGTTTGGCTAAAATCTAAAAATGAATTGGAAAATATTTTTTGTCGTTTAGTAAAGAATATATGATTTTCATAAATAGTTATACACTATTTGGGTGCTGGTAACTTGTGCACAGATAACCGGGGAACCGGATACGAGCACTAGGGTCCCTGGTCCGACCTCGATGGACCCTAACCCAGGCGTCAGGAACCTCAAGTACTGGATCTCAGGCACAAGCATGGGCACCAATCCCAGGTCCACAAAAGTCGGGCTCGAGAACCCGGTGCTCATGTCCGGCTCAAGTCCACAAAGGCCAGGCCCAAGAACTCGATGCCCACGCCCAGATGACTAGCACCTGAACCCAAGTCCATCGAAGCTGGGCTCGGGTTCATAAAGGCTGAGTGCGAGACCCTAGTGCTTAGGCTTGAGAACTCGGTGCTCGTGCTTTGAGTTGCCGATGTCCATCGAGGTTAGGTTTAGGCTTGACCTAGATGGACTTGGATGCGGGCCTTGGGTTCCTGAGCTCAATTTCAATGGACCTGAGCACGGGTGCCATGGACTTAAGCACAAGCACTAGGGGGTCCCAAAGCCTGGGCGTTGGAGATACAAGCATTGGCACTAGGGTCGTGGGCTCGATCTTGATGGACCTGAGCACAGGCACCAGAGTCTCGACCTTCGGCCTCGATGGAGCCAAGCTTAGGCATGGGAGATCCGAGCACCCAGGGTCCCAAGCCCCACCTAGATGAACCCTGACATTGGCACCCGAGCCTTGGCCTCGATTGACCCAGGCACAGGTGCCAGAAACCTCAGCACAGGCACTGGGGCTTGGGCACGAGCACTGGGGTCCTGGGCCTCGCCTCGATAGACACTAGTTTGGGCATCGGGGACTCGAGCTTGAGCGCCAAGGACCCATACATGGCCTTTGTGAATTTGGACTTGAGTGCTGAGGACCCAAGCTTGAGCACCAAAGACCCAGGCATGGACTTTGTGGACCCAAGCCCGAGTGCTGGGGATTCAAGCACGGGTATCGGGATCCAGCGCTTGGCCTTTATGGGCTTGTGCCGAGCTGCCTGGGCATCGTGCACAGGCACCGGTGTCCCGAGTCCGGCCTCAATGGACCTAAACACGAGTGTGGGGATCCAGGCTCGATGGACCTGAGCATAGGTGCCGAGGACTCGAGCACGGGCACTAGGGTCGTAGGCTCGGCCTAGATGGACTTGGGTCTAGTCGCTGAGGACCCGAGACCCGTCGTTGGAGCTTTTGTGCTCAAGCGTAAAGTTTCTAATCTAAGTGCTAATTTCTAATCATATTTTGAAAAATGATTTCCGATTTGTTAAATAAGAAATCATTTTCTTGAATTTAAGCATAGATTTTCATGAACTTATTTTCTTTCCTAAGTGATTCAAACACCGGAAAATGAGAAAATGTGTTCACAAAAAAAATTTCCGTAAAATAAATGGAGCCTCAATCATACTTTTTCCGCAAAACAAAAAAAAATATTTGTCTTTTTTTTAATAAGGCCAAAAATTCTTTTTGTTTGATAATCCCATTATAAGGAGTATTTTTATGTTCTCTTCTAAATCAAACGGAGTTGTAATATGGATGTGCTAAATAAAAAAAGACAATACATTTAGGGATTCATTGAAATTCTCAAATTTGGAGTACACGTCTTTCTTTTTATTTTGGATGAGCTGAGCCAATAGGATGAATTAAAAGAGTTCCACATTATGAACTTTGTACAGCACACATAACTTACACGCACTCTAAAAGGTCGCTTAGGAGAGAATGAATAAATAGAATATGAAAAAAGAAAATAATAAGAAATGAAAGGGATCGAATTTTATTTGTACTGTATCTCATATCCATCTTGGCTATTCCCATCCATCAACTCCTTGAGACTAGACTAGACTTCTCGGATCTTGTAAAAACTGATATACGTCCTTACCCAAAACAATATTTTCCTATTTCAGTATTTTTTTCGTAATTCCCAGAAATTATCGAAAATAGTATCTTTAGGAATTATGAAAAAAAAACAGGAGAGGTGGAAGTCATTGCGCCAACTTCAACTATGAAAACGGTGTACTATGAAAACGGTGTCTCAATTGGACGTCGGGGTGATCCACACACCCCCCCCCCCCCCCCCTCCCGGGAAGTGGCTGCGCGTGGAACCCACGCGCTGCACGTCGACGGTACGCGGCTGTTGCAGAGATTTCCAGCTTCGGGCTAGGCTTGATCCCGACTTTGAAGCGTTCGTTCTCTCTCGGTACGAAACCGAATTGGGCGATCTGGGTGTCCATAGTAAGAGCACGCGACATACTTCGGAGGCGTTCTGAGCTCTGACCATGAAACTGACCGAGCAGGTTGAGAAACCGCGATGAATGTACTTGCTCGCAAGCTGTGATAAGAGAGTTTGGAAGGCCGGTTTTCTCGAACCGGTCGTCGGATTCGCACGCCGGCAACATCGGGAGTTTTGATTTGGTGAGGGCAGCAGCTCTTTCTTTCTTTTTTTCCGGTCAAAGAAGAAATCTATTCATTTTTCTAGTTGAAATATTATAGCTCCAAAAGAAGCTTAGAACAAAGTAAATTTCAAAGGGCTAAGTTTTTCTCACGAAATGTGATCGACGTGCATTGAAGCACTTACCAAAACCGAACTATCTGACTCGAGGGCTAAGTTTCCATAAGCCAAGTGTTGTGGGGTTCCGACATGGGGCGGGGGGTTTTTATTCGTGCGACGAACGAAATCGGGAGCAAATCGTGCGAAGCCACCGGTGAGGCTCCCGGAGGAGCTTCGACCGGTGCATGGGACGGCGCCTTCGATCCATTCCGCGTCAAAAGCACCGAGCTCGATCAATTGTTGTAGCTCCATAATTTCTTTCCGTGGGTTTAAAGTACCGAGCCCAATTCTTGTCGGCCCATAGATTATAATTCGGTGAAAAAATATTAAATTATTATCATAAATTGTCCATGTCAGTACCGGTCATGTCACATAGGACGGTCGGCATTCACGTTAGCGAATTTCGATCAATTTTGGTAAAATGAACTCAATTGGTAAAACGCGAAAAAATTTATAACTCAATTGGAAAGATTAAAAGATTAAAAGATTTCTAAAGTGCAGTATGATTAGGACTTTTCGAACAATTTTCCCGGTTCAAAGCAGTTGGCCCAATTCTTGTCGGCCCATAGAAAGCCCAAAGTATGCTTTGATACCAAAACCCTACATCTACTTGTTTCCCTCTCTCAAGGCTTCCGTCCGTCCGTCTGTCTCTCTCTCTCTCTCCCCGTCCGGCCACCACGCAGCCACCACCTGCTCAGCCGCCGGTGACGCAGCCGCCGTCGCAGCCGCCGTCGCCGGCCCGGTCCTCGGCGGAAAACTAGGACGAGGTGACGCGGTCGCACCGGAACAGCTTCCCGGAGAAGTTTCTTGGGGGGGGGGGGGGGGGGCATGAAGGTTTGCTGAGGTTTACGCTTCGTTAAGGTCGCGCAAGATTATTCGAGGCATGGGTCGAGTTCAAGCGAACAAGGCTCACAAGTCCCGGTTCTCCTCCAAGTCATCTCGCAACATCCACAGAACGTCCCTCAAAGGTCAGTTTTCGCCGCCCCAATGTTGCCGTGCTACTGGGTCTGCTTAGAGTTTGATTATTACTGCTGTTTCGGTCTGTGAAGTTTGAATTTGGTGGAGGTTTCTCGATCGTTTGTGTGGGCGCGAGTTGTTTTTCATGGCTTGAGTGAGTGCACATTGTCGGGATAGCTAAGGGTTGCGGTTGCTGACGAGCGTTGTATTGTGTTTCAGACAAGGGCAGGATCGCAAAGTCCGATGGCAACGTCGGCAAGGGCGCACGAGCTGCTAGAATTCAGCACAGTAAAATGGTGATTGATAGTGTGCCCGTTTTGGAAACATTAGGGTGGTGTAATTCGCTATTGCTTGTGGTCTTATGAGTATTGGTGCTGTTTTATAGGTGAGGGAGCAGAAACGGGCCGCTCTTTTAAAAGAGAAAAGGGCTATGAGCGGATCGGCGAGTCCTCCCCGTGTCATTGTGAGTTTTCCTGACAAAAAGTTGCTGTGTGATGAATTGTGGTATCTTATGCAATTGTATGCAAGTAAAGTTTTCTTAATGGTATCTGTGTGTGATGGTAGGTTCTTTTTGGCCTTTCTGCTTCTGCGAATTTGGATTCTCTTGCTGAAGATCTTCTTAGATTATTATCCGCTGAAGATGCAGGAGTTGCGCCCTCAACGTTTTCTTCTACTGAATACAAAATGCGTGTGACGGTGGGTAATTCTTTCACATCTCCCTTTCTGAAGTTTGACGTTTGTAGGTAGTTATTTTTTAATAAAGTTCATAGAGCTCAGAGCTTTGGACTCTCGTTGTCATTTAAAGCGTGGATAATACTCCCTAGATGCACAGTACAAACTGTGTATTAATATCCATCATCCAGGGTTTTTGGTACTTGCATGCTTATGCCAAATCATGTCAGCCTAGTGAATCATGTGTCCTACATTCCTACAGTAATGGATCCATAGGCTTTTTGTTGACATGACTCCCACATCAGATGACGAGAAAAGAAATCTCTCTCTCTCTCTCTCTCTCTCTCTCTCTCATAATTTCCGATCTGTTTGCTTAGACCTCACTGATTTCTGCTGCTTTAGGTACTGAAAGCACCACATGGGGATCTCATGGCCTGTATGGAAATGGCTAAGGTAACTTGGGTATACTTTGTTTCTAACTGCTGTTCTGATCCTGTGGTTTGAGGTTTCCCTTATGCATTATCGCCTGCTTGTAGGTGGCAGATCTGATTGCTTTTGTGGCATCAGCAAGTTCATTATGTGAGGACAACAGCTCGGACTACATCGACTCCTTTGGAAACCAATGTCTCTCTGTGTTTAGGTCTATTGGTTTACCCAGCACTGTTGTTTTTATTCGAGTAAGGTGTTTTGACTTCATGTATTGAATATTTTTAAAGTGTCAGGAGTTGGTAAATAACTTTTTAAAATACTGTGTCTGAGAATTTAAATGATTGTGTACAGGATCTGCCTTCAGATATGAAGAAACGACATGAATTTAAGAAGATGTGTATATCTAGCCTTACGCCTGAATTTCCTGAAGATTGTAAATTTTACTTGGCAGATACCAAGGATGAGTTGCATAAGGTAAAGTTTATAGACCTTAAGTATGTCAGATTCGGCTCCTCTTGCAGTATTCTTGTTACAGCAACAAACTGAATAATCATGTATTATTTCTGCAACATAACTGTGATTTGTTCTATTCTGAATTTTTCATGGGTTGCAGTTCATGTGGCTTTTCAAGGGACAAAGGCTAAGTGCCCCTCATTGGCGGAATCAACGGCCTTATCTTATGGCTCAGAAGGTGATTGCTTCGTTAATTATTAAACTCTCGGAAAATTCTAGTTAGAAGCAGTGCCCTTTATGGGTTACCACTTTCAAAAGAGCTGCAACTGAGTGAGTTGGAGTTGTGAGGATTCACATAATTAAAATGTTTTGGGGAATTCGCATGACGTGCAATTACGGGCTTCTACATGGTTGTATCTTCTTGAGCATGGCTAGAATATATATGTTAATTGGAGAAGCGTTACAATATTCCTTAAATATGAAAGTTATGTGGAAAATCTAAAATTTTGTTGGAGCTGTTCTGAAATTGATATGGATGGATTCAAAGAAGTAAGTAAGAAAGAAAAACATAATTTTTCTTAGTTCAATTTATTAGTATTGGTTCTGGACTATTATGAAGCCCTCTCGACAGAGAGCAATGATCTTATTTTTATGTTTGATAGGTGGATATAGTAAATGATGATCAGAATCCTGGAAGAAGCACTCTTTTGCTCACTGGTTATCTCCGTGCTCGCTCTCTCTCAGTGAACCAGTTGGTAATTGCTTTAGCCATTGTCTCAATACAGTGCTGGATATGTTAATAGTAGCTCATAGTCATATTCAACAGGTCCATGTTTCTGGTGTTGGAGACTTCCAATTGAGCAAAATTGAAGTTATAAAGGATCCACTTCCTTTAAATGCAAGAAAAGATCATGGTGCCATGGATTTTGACGAAGTGCATGAAGTTGAGGTATAGACTTCTACATGTCATGGAAAGAGGATACAAGTCATTTTGTCCACATGACTTGTATTCTGAATTTTTTTGGGGATCAAGACTTGTATTCTCAATGGTCATTGTTGATTTGGCTCCTCTTGGACAAGTTTTCAATTTAGTGATCATATGTATTACTTATTAAAAGCTTACTGAAATCATTTGGCCAAACATGCAACTTATTGAATTCTGACGCACTCAATGATATAGGTATAGCTTTTTAAGACTGTCATGGTGAATTAAAAACTGCTAACATTAGGAGCAATTGGGAGGTGCTTTGAACCCATGATGTTCATAATGAACGCTTCCACTCATTTCTGTTACAACTGCCTCCCTCTCCTCGCCCAACCACCAACGCCAATACACACAGGAAAAGAAACACAAAAGAAATGTCTAGGAAGAGCATTGCGTCCATTTAGCTGGTATTAGGTTCCACTTGAGTATTGGGCATCAGTATTAAACAATTGTAACCTTGGGAATTATTCTATGTTTGATGATACTAGGTTACACGCTCTTATCGCCCTTTTCCTGTTGCTTTACTAGGTCATTAAATCTCTGGATCCAGAACCCATGAAGCAGGAGGCATTGCTTGTTGAGAACGTTCCAGATCCTCTTGCGGGAGAACAGGTGATTGGAGAAAATTCTGAATTTTCTGTTCTGTCCGTTGTCTATCACACTTACTTTTCTACCTTGTGTTTTGAAGCCGAATTATTTCTGGTCTGTCATTAATTAATTTGCTTTGGTACTAGATCTTTTTGATCAGGTATTATCCCAATGAGACATGATAATCTATCGGTTGATTTGTTAGCTATAGAATATATCCCCCTCTGAGATATGAGTTGTTGGCTGACTGCCTCTCATTTTTCGAACTAGTACTTAGTCCATTGCGATTGTATTTTTCTCAGTTGCATGCTACTGATTTTCATTAGCACGTATATAATTATTGTGAAGTAGAGGATACTTTCTAAGTATATGAGAGGAAATGTGTGGGAAGGAATTGAATTGCGTTAGCAGGACAAGATTTGTTGAATTTGCACCTTTTCCTGTGGATATGTTGATTTGACCTTTGTTGAAGGACCATCCCTAAGGCTTCTGAGTTGATCATTTACATAACATTTCTGCGATGAACCCGGTTGACTTCCATTCTTGATATTCAGCTATTCTTTATTGCTTTCATTGGGGACCATGTTTCTGCTGGAAGTTTGTGCTATTTTATTCACTTTGTTCTTCCTTAATTGCAGACCTGGCCAACGGAAGAAGAAATGGCTGAGGCAGAGAGAGCTCATGAACAAAAGAAACTAAAGAAAAGGTCGCTTCCTCGAGGCACCTCTGAGTATCAGGTCATCTGATGTATCCACTTTCAGTTTTTCTAGAAGATTATCATAGATTTACTATTTTTTTCAAATTTATATGCCGATGTACTTCTTTATCAAATGATGGTTGAATTCTATGTGATTTTTGTGGACTCTGAAGTAAGATACATTCACAGGCTGCTTGGATTGTGGATGATTCGGATGTGGAGGATTCAGAAAGTGATGGTGATGATGACAATGGAATGGTTTTGGATGAGGAGGAAAATGGCAGTGCTGCTCAAGAAGGCCATAATGATTTATATTATGATGATGATCATGCTTCATTAAACTTGAGGGATTCTGAAGAGGAAACTGAGGTTGATTCCATGATGATGGTAAGTTTTGATATGGAGAGACATGACCTGTGAGATTCAATAACGTAAAACTCGATGGTAGCAATGTGCAAACTCGGTGGTTTACTGTGTCTGATCAAGATATCGTGATCAAACAGTTACATTCTTAAAGCTTCTTTTTGAGTAAAATGTAGCTTTGTGCGTAGTAGCTGTTTGGGATTGCTCCCTAATGAATGCTTGCTTCAAATTTTGAATTGCTATTTAATATGGCTTTTTACTGCCATATCTGATGATGATTTTGTTTAGGGATACTATCTGGTTCTTTTAGTGATGCTTGGCTTGTGAAATACTCTGTTTTGTCTTGCAGGATGGCGATAACTTGACAAAAGAACAAATAAAAGATGAGCTTCAAAAAATTAAAGAAGCACATGCTGAAGATGAGGGTACCTCGATCTACTCTATCCTGCAATCTTGTTTGACTTTGGTACATTTTAGTTGATAATTGATATTAACATCAGAAAGGTTTCATGCTAAATCCAGTACTCACTGATTAACCATGATAAACGGATCCTCAACACAAATTGGTATTTTATGATTGAATCTCCTAGATGTTGAGTTATACTACTGTAATTTCTTGTCCAGTAGGATGTCTTTCTTGCTGGAAATATTTAGTTGGTGAGAAGAGAAAATTTAATTAGAAGGGAAAAAGTAGATTTTCCTGCTCATAAGGGGTTTTCAGCATGCAGTGGCTATGTATGAAGTGGCCTTTACTTTAACCTGAATTTGGATTTTGTGGAGCTGCTTCCTTTGTAGTGTTGATTTAATTACCCTTTACCAATGATCAGGCTTGTGATTCATGTTTTGTTTTGCATTTCAGAATTCCCAGATGAAGTAGACACTCCACTAGATGTTCCGGCTAGGAGGCGTTTTGCGAAGTATAGAGGATTGAAGTCCTTTAGGACCTCCTCATGGGACCCTAAGGTAATGATATTGGTGTTTTCTTGTAGGATTTCGTATGGCTTATGATAATTGACATTGCATTACATTTTTCTTGAAATTAATTTCAGGAATCACTACCACCGGAATATGCCAGAATATATGCCTTTGATAATTTTAAGAGGACACAAAAGCATGTTCTTGCAAAAGCATTGGATATGGAGCAATCTGACCAGGATGACTGTATACCAGCTGGCACCTACGTTAGACTTCATGTTAGAGAAGTACCTACGGGTGTTGCTACTGGATTGTGTGACCCTGGGAAGACATTGCCAATAGTAGCATGCGGTCTTTTGCAGCATGAGTCCAAGATGTCTGTTCTCCATTTCAGGTTCTTCCTTTTACAGATACAACTTTTTGCACTGTATGCTGCTGCGATCTCATCTTTTCTTTCTATTCAATGACGCTGGTTTTTTTTTTGGTTGTGATCCAGCATAAAGAAGCATGACACATATAGTGCTCCCATTAAATCCAAGGAAGAGTTAATATTTCATGTTGGTTTTCGTCAATTTGTGGCAAGGTATTGTGACAGTAGTTGATTGGAGCATCTCGCTATATTGTTGTTTATTGTTTGTTGGAGCTAGCCTGCTAATTTCTATTGCTATGCAGACCAATCTTCTCCACGGATAATATGAACTCAGACAAGCACAAAATGGAGAGATTTCTTCATACTGGGCGTTTTTCTGTAGCATCAATCTATGCTCCAATATCTTTCCCTCCTCTCCCTCTGATAGCCTTGAAGCATGCTGAAGATGGTTCTGCACCAGCTGTTGTAGCTGTAGGTTCCTTGAGAAGCGTTGATCCTGACAGAATAATTTTGAAGAAAATCATTTTGACTGGGTAGGGATTGAGTGGAACAATTATATCACAATGCTCTGTGTGTGCGCGCGTATGCATATGCATGGGATGATTACAAAGTTCTCTATGTAATATGGGTGGTCAAGGGATTGATTTCATGTTCTACATAACTTCAACATGAATATGTAACACACAAGCATACAGTCACTAAGATGAGAAGTTTTTAGGTGCTCGTATCTGAAGACTGGATTGGCTTAGGTGATGGTAACGTGGCTTCAGGAACACTACATAATGTCATTACACACACACAAACACCGTCTCTTGACCTTTCTACTGTCCTGTTGTGCATCAGGTTAAAAAACATTACACTACTGTGCCTGTTGTGTGTCGGGTTAAAATTGAGGTGAAAAGCAAATTACAAGGTCAGATATGTGGGTTGGAGTTAAATCTAATCATAGCAAAATATTCTTTTGTTTATCGGTAGATGAACTAAAAGCTTTAGCTAAAACTTTCCAGGATGAAATGAAAAGGGTAGGTCATCAATTTTAGGCAGAAAAGTACATTTAGCTCTTTGGTTTAGATTGTATCGAGTGCTATTGGTGGTTTTCCAAGTTTATTTTTGTGCATTCAATATTGAAGATGGAGATGACTTCTCTGTGGTTGAGGAGTGCTAGTGGTGGTGGTGGTGGATCCTTTCATGATTTTGGAGTGTGCTCCCCTTTCTTGCTTTTCTGAAATTTAAAAGTTGACTATTTCTCGACGCATGCCTTCAATTTTACGTTATACTGCATCCTGTATGACAATACTTGCCTGCAAGTTCATCAATGACAGTAAACATACTTATTCTCGAGATATCTCGTGTTGCAGTTACCCTCAACGTGTGTCTAAGTTAAAAGCCTCAGTCAGATACATGTTTCACAACCCAGAAGATGTGAGATGGTTTAAGGTAAGGGATTTGCTGCTGGTCTAATCTCTCGTATCGGATTTATCAACGATGGATTTAATCCTCGTGGTCTTTGAAACTCTTCAAAATATTGGTTGCAGCCTGTGGAAGTTTGGACAAAATGCGGCCGTCGTGGTCGTATTAAGGAGCCTGTTGGTACACATGGTATGTTTTCAGAATCCTTTCTCATCTAATTGAGAATATCTTTTTAATGGAATCTACTTGTTGTAGTTCCCCTCTTGGTGCTAAGTGCTAACCCTCTCCTATTTTCGACTCAGGGGCAATGAAGTGTGTTCTCAATGGAGTTCTTCAGCAACATGACACTGTATGCATGAGTTTGTATAAACGTGCATATCCCAAGTGGCCCGAACACCAGTTCCCCATTGCGGATGCTTGACCAGACGGACCGGCGGTCCAGTCTGGTTGGGATTTATTCCAGAATCACAGATGCAGATGCTTGGGTCTGTGAAGGGAATGAAGCTCTGGTTCAGAATATGAATTGTAGGTAAAATTTTGGTGGTTTGCTCACATGCTGTAGTGCGAGATACTCATCCTGGTGGTCAATTTTTTGCCCCTGTAAAATACCCCCCATTGGCAATTTAGAAGCACCAGTAATCTAGTTTTTCCCCATTCTTTCGAGGGTTGGAGCCGAGTTGAATTCCTCTGGCTCGCTTTTGATTGGTTCACCGTCTTTATTTGGTTAAAGTTCGGTAAATATATGTGTTTCGCTCTTTAGTATGACATGAACTCGTGAGAATTTATGCTTCTGTCTGCATTACCTCAGAAAAGGGAATGTTTCTTTTTGGCATTACTACGTTATAACAGGATATAAATAGGTTCAAACAGCTAAGCCATCCGTGATCCTAGTATTACATCTAGAGACTTAAATGACCATAGATTTATCAAAGCAAGTTAGTGGCCTGAAATTGTAGTTAGAAACCCCCTTGTATCGACTCTTTTCTGACTGATTCATTTGCGGCCTCGGCGGATGATTTGTTACTGACTGACGTGAAAGGCCTGAATTGGGGATGTTGATTCCTCGTGAAGAACGGCTCTACTTCAAGAAATTTAAATGGCTCAACAGTTTGCATTTCCATTTTGACCGGTCTGTACCCGCCCGACTTGCATCATGTCTTAACATCCCGTGCCAAAGATGAAAACTGACTCGCAATGCTCGGTATGCTCCAAAGTATATGTGAAATGGATAGACTGACCCAACCCGAAGATTTTGTGGAAATGGACGATGCAGAAAAACATGATCCTTGTTCCAATTTGTGACTAAGCATACGTACAAAATGGCACTGAAGACCCTTGTTTCCGTTGATCATTGGTAGCTAAAATACCATTTGAACGCTCGGTAGAAGACACTGATAGGGAACAGACGAATTCCATGCCTTCTGTAACACCTTGGTCGTGTCTGCCTGTCAATATTTTTATACCCTCTTGTGGTCAAACAAAGTATAGATCTCCTGTCCATTTGTTTAGCAATATAATAATCAGATTGAACTGGTTATTCGATTCGATGCATTTCTATCCCGCTCAACTCTATCCTCAGACCAACACTTGTTGGGGGGATCCTCAAATTTTCGACGGGGAAAAGTTAACACGACCATTCCAGGTCCATGGATACAGAGCCGAGTAAGCCGAAAAGAAAGTGAAGATGGCTTCGCTTGTGCACCCATCTGACGTGGGACTTGGCGCGACTAGGCCTTTTTCATAGGATCGTAGTACTAACACGGCAAACTAAAAACGCATTTAGCATTTCTATTTCAGATTTTCCCCTTAACATTTGGTCCTTCCTTTCATAGTAGAAATTTCCTTGTTTTCTGCTGATTACTAGATAAGGGTGAGCATCACTCGATTCTCGAACAATTCATTTCTAACAAGATTGAACAATTTCGACATGCGCAGTTCATTTTCCAAGCACTAAAGACCTAAATCCGCATCGAAACTGAACTAACCCAATCGGAGTTCACCTCTGATGAGGACCCAATAATCTATGGGACGCCAACCTCATTTCCATAAGGTCACATGTGATCTGACGTTGATGTACTGCATCTGGTCGGGAGAAACACGTATCTGATTCAGACATCTAGGGAATCTTCAACTGCTCTTGATCAGAAGTATATCTTATATAAGACTTTATTTTCCGTCATAGTCGTGTGAAGGTAACGCAATCATGTAATAAATTCGTTTCATAATGTCATTATTCTAGTTCTAATTTTCCTATACACTCCCATGGAGGAAAATCATTTTCCTAAAAATGAATTCGTATATTTCGCGAAAAACGAATGATTTGCAAAACAATTTCCTAAAAATGATTACTTGTATCACATACAAAATTGAATGAACAAAAAAAAAAATACATTCATCGTTCACTAAAGTATTTAGACATAAACTGTAATCGAAGTGATACAAGTAATCATTTTTAGGAAAATATTTTCCAAATCATTAATTTTCTACGAAATAAACGGAGCCTAAAAGTTTAAAAAAATATGGTTAATACTATGACAAATCCCAAACTGGTACACCTATGACAAATTTACTATAAACTAATATTTTTACCACAAAAAACCCCAAATTGTTACACCTGTGACAAATTTACCATAAACTAATTTGTTTACTACAAAAAACCTTAAACTGATATATTTGCGACAAATTTACTCTTTGTTAATTTGGATTAATATAACGAAAAATCACAAACTGGTACACTTATGACAAACAGAGGGTAAAATCTCAAACCGGTATACCCGTCAACTGTCACGTGTTTTCCAACTTAGAAATTTGACGGTAAAATTTAACGGAAACTAATGAAGAGTAAAGTTGTTATAAGTGTACCAGTTTGGGGTGTTTGGTGGTAAAAAAAATTAATTTAGGGTAAATTTATCATAGTTGTACCAGTTTGAGATTTTTCGTGGTATTAACCCTAAAAAAATAAAATCTCGTATATTTTTCTTACCCCGTTTTGTCCTTCATTGTGTTGGACGGGACAAACATTGCTTGGTGACCCTAGAGAAAACAGAGGAAGGGCCGGCAAAGGGATCAACACAGATACTCACGAAGGCAAATTATCTTTCCTTTATTTATTATTTATTTTTGGGTTAATACCACGAAAAACCCTAAACTGGTACACTTGTGACACATTTACCCCAAACTATTTTTTTGACCATAAAAAACCCCAAACTGGTACATCTGTGACAATTTTATCCTGAACTATTTTTTTGGCCACCAAAAACCCCAAACTGGTACACCTGTGACAATTTTACCCTGAACTTACCACAAAAAACCCCAAACTGGTACATATGTGACAATTTTACCCTGAATTAAAATTATAATATTATTTTTTTATTTTTTTCGAATTTTCATTTATTTTTTTATTCTTTTCTTATTTTTTTTTTTTTCATCTTCAACCTCTGGCGGGTCGCCGGTCCGCGACCGCCAGGGCGAAAAAGGGCGAGGCGGCCCTCGCCGGCGTCGAGCGAGGGCCGCCCTCGCCGGCGTCGGGCGAGGGCCGCCCTCGCCCGGGCCTCTAGCGAGGGCGACCCTTGCTGCGTCGGGCGAGGGCCGTCCTCCCCCCGCCCGAGGCGAGGGCGACCGTCACCCGACTCGGGCGAGGGCGCCCTCGCCCGATACCGGGCGAGGGTCGCCCTCGCCGGATCGGAGTGAGGCGACCACTCGCTGCGTCGGCAAGGGCCGCCCTCGCCCGCCAGTGGCAGGGCGACCCTCGCCCGGCTCGGGTGAGGGCGGCCCTCGCCCGACTCGGCGAGGGCGGATCCGGGGAGGCGACCACTCACAGCATCGGGCGAGGCCGCCTCGCCGGATCCGCGGGCGACCCTCTCTGCGTCGGGCAAGGGCCGCCCTCGCCGGCGTCGGGCGACCCTCGCTCAGCGTCGGGCGACCCTCGCTGTGTCGGGCGGAGGCCGCCCGACGCAGGCAAGGGCGGCCCTCGCCGGCTTCCGCCTCTGGCCGGTCGCCGGACCGGCCAGAAGTTGAAGGTGAAGGAAAAAAAATGAAAAAAGAAAAAATTCAAAAAAATAATATTAAAAATTAGTTCGAGGTAAAATTGTCACATGTGTACCAGTTTGGGATTTTTTGTGGTATGTTTATGGTAAAATTGTCACAGGTGTACCAGTTTGGGGTTTGTTATGGTAAAAAAAATAGTTTGGGGTAAATGTGTCACAAGTGTACCAGTTTAGGGTTTTTCGTGGTAATAACCCTTTATTTTTTTATTTCATTTTCCGCCTTCGCACAATTTGATACGAAATACCTGAGGAATCTTCGGTCGTTAGTCGCACAATTTGTCACGTACGAGGATTCTCTTTACCCGTTGACTTCGCACCAAACTGACAATGAGTAATCATGTGCACAGCCTTTCAAGAAGTTTGTCATTTTCCTTCATCTCTCTCAAACGCGAACCCTGCCACTTCGAGTATCTCAACCTCGCACGTCGCCGTGGACGAGACCAGATCCGGAGGCACGACTCAAATGTGAACCCTCCCACTTCAAGTCTCTACAGCTTGAGCTCGTTGAAGATATCCACAAGAGTTGTTCTGTTTCTTCCTCTTTAGTCCTGTTTTTACTGATAAAGACAAGATGAACCTATCTATGGTACTTTCTCTTTTTCTCTCCATTGATTTATTTGTCTGAATTTTGTGTAGGTTTCATCCTTGTCTTTGTTAATCTGTTCTTTTTCCAACTAAAATGGTTGTCATGCAGGAGACCAAGACTGAGTTTGTCGAGGGGAAGGTGGATTGGAAGGGAAAAAATGCTTTGAAGCACAAGCATGGTGGGATGAGGGCTTCTTGGCTCATTCTAGGTAGGTACTCATTTTATTTCGATTTTCACTGCTATGATCTTGGTCTTGTACGCCAGTAAAGGGGTTATAGGACCTCTCAGAGTTTCACGTGTCGATTTCCGGATGGATAATAGTCGAGAGGTTCCTACACCGTGTTTGTCTCACTATGCCCTTATCGTCTAATTTGAACATCTACTAAAGGTACGCGAGCAATGACACATGATCCTTAGGGAGGACCGAATAGCAACTCGTATTTGAGCATCCCACAAGCATTTTCGGGGGTCAATGCTGTGCAATCAGAGTACCTAATTGATGAATGAATTTGAACTGACTTGTATCATAATGATCTAGAGCAATATTGACCCTTTTTTATTGTCTCATTTTGGCTTAAATTGCAAATTCTGCAGGGGCATTTAGCTTTGAGATCGTGGCGACTTTGGCACTCGCTGTCAACTTGGTGACATACTTCAATGGAGTGATGCACTTTGAGCTAGCTGACGCAGCTAACCAGCTCACAAACTTCCTGGGGACTTGTTACATCCTCCCCATACTTGCAGCCATTCTCGCCGACACTTTCATCGGCAGATTCAAGACCGTCCTCATTTCAGCCTCAGTCGAATTCCTGGTACATATTCCCTGAATAATTGGTTTAAGACTACATAGCAACTGAATTGACAATTGGTTTCACTGGTGATCTCTGAACTTTGTTTAGACTCGAACGAATTATCTATCATTATTAAGAAGAGTCTTCATCGATTACCAGTAGATCCCCGTCGGTCACAATTTTTAATGTTTGGCCACGTTCACACATTGATTCCTCCAGATTTTAACTGACTCTAATTGTGAAGTATAGTGAAGCCCCTTTATAGACTATGGATGAGTTATGAACCCATCAAAGCTCTTGAGCAACTCAACTATACTTAGGAATGCTCAAACAGGGACTGGCACTCCTAACAGTGCAAGCTCACTATCCGAAGCTTCGACCGCCGCCGTGCAACGTATTTGATCCCACTTCCCACTGTGAGAAAATCAGCGGTGGAGATGCTGCTCTCCTATTCCTCGGCTTATACTTGTTGGCCAGTGGCAGCGCGGGCATGAAGGCCTCCCTGCCAGCCCATGGCGCCGACCAGTTTGATGAGGGAGATTCAAGGGAGGCAAGGCAGATGTCTAGCTTCTTCAACTGCTTCTTTCTGTCTGTGTGCACCGGGGGGATGGTGAGCCTGACGCTTGTTGTCTGGATCCAAGATAACAAAGGATGGGACTGGGGGTTCGGCCTGTCTACCATTGCCATGATCGTGGCAATAATCGTCTTTGCTGCGGGACTGCCACTGTACCGGATTCAGATAGTTCAGAAATCTAGCGCCATCATTGAAATCATTCAGGTATGAGCTCATCATCTTCTTTCATATATGTATTTCGCTCATCCAATTTTTGTTTTGTCACGATTTGTTGTTTTGTGCAGGTATATGTAGCTGCAATCAGCAAACGAGATCTTCCACTTCCCGAGGACCCAACAGAGCTTTATGAACTTGATAAAGATGGAGAAGCTGCCTCGGAAGCAGAATTTTTACCTCACACCGACAATTTCAGGTTGATTCCATCTTTAGTGAGGAACAGCAATGTTATGTTAGACATACCAATTGCAAAAATAATAAGCATACCGGTTCAACTATTCTAGTTCAGAAAAAAATGCTGAAGTCATGGGAAAATCAAAAGTAATGACCTCAAAAATTAAGCAACAAATCACAATTAAACTGCTTCAATGTTCCTCCTCTTATTGCTTGTTAGGTTTCTTGACAAAGCAGCCATTCAGAAAACTTCACCAGTGCAATTCGGAGGTGAGAAAGTGCCGAATCGATGGGTGTTGTGCCCAGTCACACAAGTGGAGAATGCCAAGATCATAATAGGCATGGTCCCTATCTTCTGTTGCACCATCATCATGACCCTATGCCTTGCTCAGCTCCAAACCTTCTCCATCCAACAAGGCCTAACCATGGACACAAGCATCACTAGGTCCTTCCACATTCCACCCGCCTCCCTGCCCATCATCCCAACCGCCTTAATGATCGTCATCATCCCAGTCTATGACCGGGTCTTTGTACCCTTTGCACGCAAGCTCACAGGCCACCCGGCTGGCATCACGCAACTGCAGCGCATTGGGGTTGGCCTGGTCCTGTTCTCTGTCTCAATGGCCGTGGCTGCAGCTGTCGAGGTCAAACGAAAAGCTGTGGCGAGGAACCGCCACATGCTTGATGCGGTGCCTGTGCTCCAACCTCTCCCAATCAGCACGTTCTGGCTGTCCTTCCAGTACCTCATTTTCGGGATCGCGGACATGTTCACAAATGTGGGGCTCCTCGAGTTCTTCTACTCTGAAGCGCCGAAGGGGCTCAAATCAGTCTCGACTTGCTTCCTCTGGAGCTCCAAGGCACTCGGGTACTTCTTCAGCACGATAATGGTAAAGATTGTGAACAGCGCGACAAAGGGGATAACAAGGAGCGGAGGCTGGTTGGCTGGGAACAACATTAACCGGAACCATTTGAACCTGTTCTACTTGTTGCTTTCCATGCTTAGCTTGATCAACTTCTTCGTCTATTTGATTGTTGCAAGGAGGTACAATTACAGGACTAAGTCACAAGTGAGAACAACACTATGTGAGGAAGTGAGGGATAATAATGTGGAAGAGTCAAGTTGAATCAAATCAGAAGTTGAATGTTGCTACAGTTTGGTGTTCTGAGATATCATTTGGTGTTCATGACTGGAAGCAATTGGTAATTCGGGTGCAATGACGACGACTAGCACTTGTAATCTTCCCATAACCATCTATTTTAATGTTAATTTCTCTTCTTAATGATAATGACTACTGCTTGAGACATCAACTAATGGACTAAAATCACGGGAAAGGTTTAAGAAATTTATCCCTATAATTGGAAGATAAAGCATTATTTTACTGGAGAGTATCAATTAACAATTTGACCTAGTAAAGTTTACAATCACACATCTTGCTTCGAATAAGTTTTATTATTATAGTTATAGATATAGATATATAAGATCTTTCTGTACTATATATATTATAGCGCCACTCTGAAGAATCACAAATCAATCTATATTTTGCTGCTTTTGTTCTTCTTCTGAGACAATTCATTTGGTGTTAGTGCTATGGATGAATTATCGGATCGTTGAGAGGATCGATTCTCATTGTTATTTTGATGGACGGATGACTTTTGTGGCTTGTTATGCAGTGTCCCTCAATGTTGTGGACGTTTGTTAATTTAGTTTATGGATGGTGGAGACTCGTCAGGCTTGCTTCTCAATGATGTTATAGTTGGTTGTGGACTTCTTATTCTACTGGCTTATGAAATGTGTTTTTTGAGGATTATTTTGCATGGTGGATGATTAGATTATTGTATTGCAGGTTATTTTATTTTATCATAACAGGCTTTTGATTTGTTATGATATCGTTATATGGTTTTTTTTGTTTTTACTTTTTTAGTTTGGTCATTTGGGGTTCAGCTGCATCAACCTCGTATATGCAAGATTCCACACAATCGGTACCTAGGAAAATGTTCTTGCTGTCAAACTTCTTCCCCGAGGATGTTTTCATGTTTAGTAGCTCTCTAGGAAAATGCAAAGAGATCTCCGAAGATTTCTTGTTCGGATTTCTTTCTCAGCTCAACATTAGGGAGAGGAACTCTTCCTCTGGAGAATTAGTCTTGCACCGAATTCTGGCTTTTTTAAGCCTCATTAAGTATTGTTTGACGGACTCTACAGATGGTTGTCGTATCTTGCCAGGTCGGCCACCTATACCCTGGGATCAGTTGAGAGAAATATGTCTAGAATCGGACTTGCATGTCTCGCCAATCCCTAACCGAATTCGCAGGCAGATTGAGGTGCCAATTGAAAGCTGGTCCTGACAGTGAACTAGGGAAGAGCCTTAACTTTGAGAAAGTCATCAATAGAAATTTCTTCATTGTTCAAGCAATTTGCACGATGGCCGTGATTTCACCTTTACCGGCAAACAAAGCGAATTCAGAATCGCTATACCCCCTGGAGAAGGGATAGTTTCAGTCGATGTGATCATGGCATGGTTTCCTATACACAGTCGTGTTATTCCTTCAAGATCTAGGTCCACACAGTTGCTCTAATATTCTTGATCGATGGGATTAGCTACTCTTGGTTCGTTTTCATCGAGTCCTCTTTCAGGAATTTCTTATTTCGGGCCTCCCTGGGGCCAGGTGTAGTTCTCTACTTCTCCTGTCATCATTCACATTTGGCCTCTCTAGGGGCAACTTGTGATGGTTCCCTACTCCTAAAGGGTGGCTCATAGTTCCCAGGCCCTTCTGGGCTAAAGCCAGGCCGAGGATAGTCTTTGACAGCTTCTTTGAAGATAGTGTTTTGCCTAGTCCAATCGTAATGATCCCTTTTTAGAGATGCCCACTGTTCCTGGTACTGGAGCTTTCTCCACCGTGTCGAGCGTGATACCCCTGTGAGAAGTGGGATCAATTCTAATGGGAGTTCGTCGATTAATATGGCCGTCGTTCCCACAGGAAGCATTCAGGTTTCCCCCATGAGCCCTATGGACGAGGTTTCTTTCCTTCATCCTGTTTTCAAAGGCATTGATGAGTCTCCTGACATGAGTTATAAGATTGTTATCAACGATTTTTCGCCGTTCAAAGGTTGGCTCTAAGATTTGAACCACTCATTCAGCTACTTTGTTAGTCATGGGATCAGTCATCCCTTCGATAACTCGATAAAACCTTGTTATTACATTCTTAGCTTGTTGATCAATAAGGTTAATGACTGAAATCATGTTTCTTTCACCACGTTGCCTGTGTGCAGATTTATCTGGGGAATGCGTTCAACTTGCTTGCACTTTCAGTCCCGACCTAGCATTCAAAGCCTCAAATTGCTCATCCAATTCTTATAAGGCTCTGTCTTGAATCTCTTAAATGATCCGAGAGAATCAATCAAAGAGGTTTTCTCGCACACTTTCGGCGACGGACGGAGACAAGCGGACTTTCATCTCGGGAACCATCCCTAGCCTGAGAGGCTTTTGTTGGATTAAGGCGCAACTCTTGATTATTGTAGTCATTGGTAAGACATTCTATTCTACCACTATGATTGCCAAAAGACATGTTGAAATTCAATAGTTTCAATTAGTAATAAGTCTAAATGAGGGTTATCAATGGTCAATTAAATTGTTTAATTCGAATTTGAATGAAAGGTACGTGGATTCTAATATGTCTTGAAGTCTCTAAGGGCTTTGCAAAATTTGATTTGGTAATATTACACAAACAGCAGACTGAAAAGATCAGGCAACAATTGCATGAACTTTTTTTGAATAAAAAATGATAGCTTACGTGCTTGGAGCCAATGCTTGCTCGATGGCCGAAATTGAACATGAACTGCTAATGGACATTACTAGAATGCGTAGGGAAAGTGAAAAGCTTACATAGTACGAATGAAATGCTTTCTATAAGTGTAATATTTGGGTTAAAAAAAAAAAGGTCAAAAAGTCAAAAAGCAGCTACAATATAGCTACAGTGGACGCTCGGCTCTTCTGTTTTTAACCTAGAGCTTGCGCAGAGCAGGGGAGAGAAGAGAAAAAAGAAAAAGAGAAAAAGGAAAAGAAAAGGAAGAAGTAAAAAGAGGAAAGGCTCACGTCACCGGGTCTCGCCAACTCGGATCAACTTCGTATTTCAATGCCCGGTAAGCATTAGCGCCCCTTGTTCGTCCGATCGGAGAAATTTTCAGATTTAGGATTTAAATTCGGAATTTTGGGAAATTCAAGCCCCGAAGTCTGATTTTTGAGTCGTTGAGCTGCGTATATATATATAGAAATGGTAGTTTAGGATATCGTGGAGTTGTGGGATTTTACGAATTTTGATTTAGACTTACCATTTGCCCGAAACGAATTTTTGAAGTTTTCCGCAAGAGGTGAACAGTTACGTTCGGCAACATTCATGCCATATTTTGTCGGTTTTCGGCTCAATTTTGGGGTGCCTAAGCTAGGGCTTTTGTGACACTCTGAACGGGCTTTCTTTTGACTATAAGTTTGCTAGGATCGGAGTTCGATGGAAAGAGTTTTGGCACGACCAAGTTTCGCGCTCAAGCTCCGCGTTGCAGAAGATTTTGGATAATCGCTTCGGACAAGCGATTTGTGGGCACCTTTGAGTTGTCTTGTAACGTCCTTATCTTACCTCAGGGTTATTAATTTGACATTACAGGCTTGTCGCCATCCCGTTTCTTTCATCTGATTATTAAGCACATGCGGAAACGTGTATAAACAAATTCACAAACACACTAATAGCTGGAAATCAGGGAAAGCATAACAGGCAATACACATTATTGTCATTTTACTTAAACATATTTTACAAGACCTTTTTTTTCACAGGCCGTTCCACGTACAAATTATATCACAAGCGAAGACCGAGGTTAATTCTAGCTCCTCTATGTCATCCTCTATCTTATGAACCTGAAAAGGAAAACAACGAGGAATGAGTCAGGGAGACTCAATGAGTAAATTCACTAATACTCGTACAGGATGATGCTTCGCCATTGTACTAACGCATGCAAATACTTTCCCCATCTTATGTTGATGGCAAATCAATAGAAAAGACTTTGTCCTTACCCTTGCTATGTTTACATGGAAACTCATCTTTATTCAGTCACATAAATTCGGCTTATCAATAAACACACATACCGGCACACATATAAAATTCATTTATTACATATCGGTACACATAAGATTCATTTATCGTCATCCTAGCTCAACTAGGGCATCCCGACTCAACCAAGACATCCCGGGGCTAGCTTACCTTAGGCATCTGGGCTCAACCGAGGCATTCGGGCTCAACCGAGGCATCCTAGCTCAACTAGGGCATCCCAGCACTAGTTTGCCAAGGCATCCGGGCTCAACCGAGGCATCCTAGCTCAACTAGAGCATCCCAGCGCTAGTTTACCGAGGCATCGCCACCAATGCTACGTGACGACGGTCTTCTTCTTTTATTTAGTGATCAGACATCATAGATCACACAAGCCGATTTATTATCTTGATTTCATTAGTCCATGCAATCAAGCCCAAAGGCGTACCGTGCTTGTGTAGTCATGATCTCTAGAACATTTGCTTAACATGTGGGTTGCGATCGAGGGCACGTGGTTCGGTCCGCCATGCCGAGAGCCGGCTTGGAGCCGAATTTGGCCCGGATCTACACATCCCAATGTAAACCCGCATCAAGCCGAACTCGTCCCGTGACACCACAACATGAGTATGAGATCATATGACATCCCGTTTCGTGACTCGTGCGTGCCTTTACTTACTATTACGAAGCAAAACAATAAGTACTCATGCAAAAATCGAGCATCACAGACATGGTCACTACTCGAGCCAAACTCGTAACACCACACCCTATCCTCTTATAAATCAACAAGCATGGATGAGAACATCAAACATGGTAACAAGCGATGCGTGCAACATTGAGACAAACAACAACACGCAAGTCTCAACAAAGGCTTGGGTGAGAACTCAAGCCAACAACGCATCATAACTTCCTATCCCGAGATTAGAGAATCCACTTACATGCCGCGTTCCAACCACGTAACATACCGCCTTATCCAAGTGTTAGGGAATTCACTTATCTATAATCATAATAAAATGTCTATGGCGGTCGGCGACGGCAAATGGTGAGAGAGAGAGAGAGAAGTGTTTGGCATGAGGGTGAGAGATGAGAGAGAGGCGAGGAAGTGGTGTGTGGTAACTAAGGGGGGGAAACTAAGCCTATTTATAGGTAAGCCAACTTGTTCTCAAGCTTAATCAAGAAGAAAAGATAAATGACATAATGAAAGATCCCCTAAAGTCAAGTGCCATCATGACTATGATCTAGAAAATCTTGATCATTAATGACATTAATGGAGGAGAGCCAAATGACATTAATGAAATAACCCCTAAAGTCAAGTGCCATCATGACTATGATCTAGCAAATCTTAACAATTAATAGCTCTCTCTCTCTCTCTTTCCCTCATTCTCTCTCTCGGCTCCCTCTCGGTTTTCCCCCTTCTTGGCCGACTTCCTCACTTGTTTTTAGCTCATTATTGGTGATAATGAGTCACCATGCTCCAATAATGAGGGTGGAAAATTCAGCTATTGAGCAATTATGGAAGGGGACACCTAAACATGACTCAATAATGGTGGCTTCAACAAGAAGAATTGGCCCTCGACTTGGCCAATTTCGTTTTCATATCTTTTCCCTTCGTGTGACCTCCAATCAAAGTTTAGCATAGTTCATTTGAAAGCTCAGAATGAGCACATTAAATCACCAGAAGACATCAAGTCGAGATTCCAACGTTCTCATATAGAAAATGATGAATATTTGAAATTTGACAAAACCGGTAGGTTTTGCACTGTTCTAGAAATTGGGCTTAAAAGCATAGTAAATGAACTTAGAAAATTCCCAAATTCGAATATGTCATAAACAAGACCTTAACAAACATTTTCCATATAGAACATAAAATCTAAATCTTTTTGTAAACACAGCTTTTAGTAGCTCAAAGACAG